TAATGAATTTGTGAATAAATACTGTGTTTTCAAACTAGAGGCCCGGTGCACGAAATTTGTGCATTGAGGGTGGCGGCGGCGGCGGCGGCGGCGGTGGTGGTGGTGGTGGTGGTGGTGGTTCCCCCTCAGCCTGGCCTGCACCCTCTCGCAGTCCAGGAGCCCTCGGGGGATGTCCCGGAGGTGGGAGCGCTACTGCGTTTGCCAGCCGTGAACCCAGCTCAGGGCTTTTGGCTGAATGGTGCACCCCCTGTGGGAGCACACTGACCACCAGGAAGCAGCCCCTGGTGGTCAGTGCATGTCATAGTGACTGGTTGTTCTGCTGTTCAGTCGATTAGCATGTTAGCCTTTTATTATATAGGATAGGATGTAATAAATATCATACCTCTAACCCAAAAGAACAAAAGCTTTTAGGGGGTCTTCTATTTTAAGGGTGTAAATGGTCTCAAGACCAAACATTTTGCAAAGTGCTGGTCTAGGGCAGTGTCTGGGCAGAGTTGGAATAGTAGTTGCTTGGTCTGTGGGGTGGACAAGAATGCTTTCATTGTATAGTTGGAAGGCTGACACATAGAACGTTACAGAACAGTACTCTCTCTGTTTCAGTTTGGCATGATTTTTAACAGGATATGTGTTATAAGCACTTGCTGGTATAGCAGCTAGAAATAGATACTTAGTTTTAGAGCAGTTACTAAAATCCAGCATGGTTCTAAAAGTCTTCGGGTGTAGAAGATAATTTTATATATGTGAGAAATTTCTGGTAGCTCTTTGTGTCTGTTCTGTTAAGGGTTGGAGGAATGTAAAGACTCGGTGGTTTCTGTAATGACCACATAAAACTTTCCAGCTGAACAGCTGACCTGTACTAATACATCACTTCGCAAGGTGTTCACGTCTGTGTTACTACATTTGGCTAACCTGGTTTTGGCATGTCTGAATGCATGTCTTTAGTTTCTTGCATTTTAGTAAGAATTCCTTTATTTCAGAGTGCAGTGTCGTTCCTGTTTTGGTGTGCACTTGGAGTGTCTGGAAACAACCTCAGTAGGAGAGCCTGAGAGAAGACATACTGCTGTTGGTGCTTGTGTAGGTGAAATAAAGATCGCTGGGCTTTGATTTTCTAAAATTGGCCAGACTATCCACCCTTTTTTGTGGGAATACCTTTCCCTTCCTGCTTACCTTCTTCTAGTGTTACCCTAGAGCCCAGACCTATTTCCTGTAGTAAAATGCTAGGATCTCTGTTTACTTCTGAAGTGTTGATGAATCTTCAATTTTTTGTCTGGGCAAAGAGAAGAAGAGAGAGAGGTAGAGGCAAGGACCTCTTCCTCACCATCATCATTAGCAATGAAAACCTTTAGACATTTTTTAAATAGCTGTATGCTTGTTTTTATGGGCTTGTGGAGCAGTTACAAAGTGAGCCTACTTCAGGAGACCAAGGATATAAACAAATATAGGACAAACCAGTTTATTTGGTAAAGAAAAAAAAGCTAATGGGTTGGACCCCAAGACTGGCCACATTTCAAAAAAAGTTATCCAAGAGAAAAATTTTCCCGGGGTTGATTAAACCAACCAGAGACTCTAACTGTATAATGGCTTAGCTTTATCTGTCTCTGCTGGTATAATGTAGGTTTTACATAAATCACTTTTAAGTCTGTAAATATTGGGTGATTAAAAGAAGAAAATTAATTACTGTTTTCAGTAGCCTGGGAACAGTGTCATCTTTGTCAGTGCTAACGACATGCCAGTGATCAGCCAAATGAAAGACAGTTATCTGTGAAAGGATATTTCTGGCAATATCTTTATTTTTGGAAGAAAAACACAATACAAAAATCTAGAATCTTGAAGATAAAAGCTAGTTGGGCCTCCATGTTCATCTAGGGCAGTGATGGTGAACCTTGTGAGCTCGGCGTGTCAGCATTTTGAAAAACCCTAACTTACCTCCTGGTGCTGTGTCACATATAGAAATTTTTTGATATTTGCAACCATAGTAAGACAAAGACTTCTATTTTTGATATTTATTTTATATATTTAAATGCCATTTAACAAAGAAAAATCAACCAAAAAAATGAGTTCACGTGTCACCTCTGACATGCGTGTCATAGTTCGCCATCACTGATCTAGGCCAACAGAGGATTTTCTAGAGACCAGAAAGATAGCAAGACTTGCCCCGGGAAGATCAACTGCCTAGTTATAGTATAATTAAAGATAGAACCAAAGCCCTGGCTGGTGTGGCTCAATTGGTTGGGCATCGACTAGTGCACTGAAAGGTTGTGGGTTCAATTTCCGGTCAGGGCACAAGCCCAAGTTTTGGGCTAGTTTTCCTCTTCCTCCCTGTCACTTCGAAGCTCTTTCTCTCTAAAAATGAATAAAAAATATTGAAAAGAAAAATAAGAAAAGATAAGAATCAGAGCCTCCTGACCCCATTTGTCATCCAGTTTGGGGCAGATGATGAAGTCATTTTGGGAGACTCTGGAATTAGGCTTTCTGTGTTCAGAACTGTACCTCGCTCCTCATCTCAAAAATGGTGACAATCACACAAGTCCACAAATCCCCAAACCAACAACTCTGCAGACTCGGTGTTCCTGTCATTCATTTGGAAGCAAATGTGACATAAACTGATAGGAGGCTATTTATAATCTTTATTTATCTTCCTTAGTGGGACTATTCATATGTTTCACTACAGAAATACTATTATTTGATTATAAAGTACCACTCCAGGCCACAATAGGGGTATTTTCTTTGTAAAATCCAAAAAATTCTGAAACATCTATGTGCCATGCCAGCACAGCCAAGGGTGAACCTGAGGAGGGGCGGAGGATTGAAGAAAAGACAGACAAGAGAATACAGCTGGGGCTCGGTGGGTCTCCCATCCCTGGATGAGGACACAAAAGACCCAGCCTGCAAGCCAATGCTTTATTTTATAGTCTGATTAAAACAGTGGCAGATTAACATGTACACAAATGTTCTTGTTTTGGCAACACTTGCTGCACCTCCCACAGCCCATTAGCTACTTGGGAAGGAATTAAAGGGGACTACAAGTAAAAGGGCACTAGAAATGTTCCTATCTTCACTAAATCTTTTGTTGTGTGAATCCTCACCCAAAGATATTTTTCCATTGGTTTTTAGAGAGAGTGGAAGGGAAGGGGAGAGACACAGAGAGAGAAACATTGGTATGAGAGACACACATAATTGGTTGCCTCCCGCATGTGCCCTGACCAGGGCCTGGGATTGAGCCTGCAACCTAGGTACGTGCCCTTGACCAGAATTGAACCTGGGACCCTTCAGTCCAAGGGCCGACACTCTATCCACTGAGCCAAATCAGGTAGGACCTAAGTCTTAAATTGACTAAAAAGGGAGGCATGAACAAAAAGGCATCCATTTGTTTCTATTGAGTTTAGGAACCACAGTCTACCTTCCTAATTCAGAAAGGTGAGTTAGATAAAAAAAGTGAGAAACATTGGAAGATAGGCTATTAATACAAACTTGAGAATTGCTAGACAATGTTGATGTGGTTAAAAGTTGTGTTCATTGAACCTAGGATATTTCTCTTCATTAAAAAGAAAAAAGTGCATTCTATATTGTTAAGTTTTTTATGTCTTAATTTTATAGCAAAAGGCCAGTAACGTAAAGCAGTGGAAAAGAATAGCTCCTGATACACGTTGAGCTTAAAAGAGAGCAAGTTATAGGAGGACAGGTGTGCTTTGTTTTTGTAGTGTGCATGCATTCGGCACACACAGTTTATATGGAAGGATGCATATTCCAATTGTAAACAGTGTCTACAACCAGGGAATGGGCATACAGAGAGAGGAGGGAGGAGGCCCTTGTACTTCCGCTTTGTATATTTACTGGTATTTGAATTTTTTTTTTACAATGAACAATTATTTTTGGAATTTTTTTAAAAGGAAAATTGATAGTATTTTAAAATAAAAATTAATTTTAATTCATGTTCTGTATTTTCTAAGAAGTGACTTTTTTATACAAAAGCTTTTTTAAAAAAAATACGTTTTATTGATTTTTTTACAGAGAGGAAGGGAGAGGGATAAAGAGTTAGAAACATCGATGAGAGAGAATCATCAATCAGCTGCCAAGGTACATGCCCTTGACTGGAATCGAACCTGGGACCCTTGAGTCCGCAGGCCGACGCTCTATCCACTGAGCCAAACCAGTTAGGGCTAAAAAAGCTTTTTATAAAACTTCTGTAAGGATAGTTAGAATTGAAAACATATGAAATTTCAAATAATACCATGAAATAAGTTGTAACTTCTAATTATGTGCTGGTTGGCACAGTTTACATTAGGAGTCAATTTTAACCAGATTTTCTTGTGTAGATTTATTTGAAAAAGAAAACAGAACCAAAAACTGTTTCGTCTGAAGAAGCCATTAAACATGAGAGTGTTTTTTTCCCCCTGAAACCATGCGTTTAGTTCTGCAGTGGGCACCATGCTTACCGCCAGCCAGGATATAGAGGCCTGGCCTGGTAGCCCTTAAGCAGCCTCTTCGCAAGGTGTTTGTACATGGTCGCCCTCAACTTGAAAAACAGACTGAAGAAAGTCAGTGACTCTAAGATGGTCAGTCACAGACTAGAACACAGCACAGGACTGTGAAGTAGAAGGAGCTGGTTTCAGAAAAATTCAGCTCAGACTTTCAGAAGTCTTAAGCGACGAGTGTCCAGGGTCTCCACTGATTTGAGAGATGTTGCATACGCAATAAACACTAGTATCAGACCTTAAGACACTGAGCTTGGGAGGGTAATGACAAATGCTTCAGAATACCAAGGGTACCAAAAGCCAAGTCGTTCAAGTAAAACACCAGCAAAGTTCCTCAGGGGGAAAAAAGCTGCTTATATTTCTATAGCTCTGGAGTCTGGAAAAAAATTTTAATTGCTTTTCAAAATGCCTACTAGCCCTTAATCATAAGAATAGCTGCTCAATCTTAAATTAATTTTTAATTACATCAGAAGATTAATTATTGCAAATGAAAACCATATTGAGATACCAATTTTCATCTGTCGGGTTGGTAAAAATTCAAAAGTTAGACAATGCTCACTGTTGAGAAGACAATGAAGAAAGAAAAAAGAAAAGAAGAGAAGAGAAAAGAAAAGAAAAGAGAAAAGACTCTTATCCATTACTGGTGAGAGTGCAAAATGATTTAACTTCTCTGGAGGGCAGTTGGGTAACATCTGTCAAAGTGCATTTTCTTTTCAATCCAGATCTCAATTTTAGGAACTTTATTCTACACAGATGTGTCATTTTATTGTGTGTGCAGGGCAGGTAAATTTACAAGTCTCTATTAATAAAGAATTGTTTGTAAAGGAATTTTTGGATACCACAATGCCCGTTTAAAGGGGATTTGTTTTAAAAGAAAAGCAATGTAGTGTATCCACACAACGAAATATAGTGGGGATGTATAAAGAAAAAGAAGAAAAAGTTCTCCACATATTGATACAGGAAGGTCTCTAGGCTATACTGTAAAAGACGGGTGGGGGAGTACAAAGCTGTGTATTTAAATATGTGTGTGGGGTTTTTTTATTTTTTAGAGAGAGAGGAGAGGAGAAACATCTATCAGTTGCTTCCATATGCACTCCAACTGGGGACTGAACCCACAACCTGAGCATGTGCCCTGACCAGGAATCTAATTTGCAACCTTTTGGTGCATGGGACAGTGCTCAACCAACTGAGCCACACTGGCCAGGGCCAGAGCTGTGTATTTAATATTTTGCTATTTGTATAAGACATGGTGAGCATGCTCTAAAGAAACTAATAAAAGTGGTTATTGCCCAGCCAGTGTGGCTCAGTGGTTGAGCATCATCCCATGAAGCAGGAGGTCATGGTTTGATTCCCAGTCAGGGCACATGCCTGGGTTTTGGGCTCAAGCCCCCGAAGGGGGCATGCAGGAGGCAGCCAATTGATGATTCTCTCTCATTGATGTTTCTCTCTCTCTCACCCGCTTCTTCTCTGAAATCAGTAAAAACTTTTTTAAAAGTCATTATCTAGAGATAATCCAGTCTGACCCTCATCACTTCACTAAGATTATTTTTGCTAAGGTCACCAGTGACATACACATTAAATAAATCCAGTGGACACTGCAGTTTTCATCTTGACCTCTCAGCAGTCTTTGTCACAGGTGACCTCTCCTTCCTACTACAAACAATGAATGCTGAGTACGTACAGTGTTCAGCTCTCCATATGAATTATTCATTTAATTCTTGATTTTTTTAAAATATATTTTATTGATTTTTTACAGAGAGGAAGGGAGAGAGATAGAGAGTTAGAAACATCGACGAGAGAGAAACATCGACCAGCTGCCCCCTGCACATCTCCCACTGGGGATGTGCCCGCAACCCAGGTACATGCCCTTGGCCGGAATCGAACCTGGGACCCCTCAGTCCACAGGCCGACGCTCTATCCACTGAGCCAAACCGGTTTCGGCTTCATTTAATTCTTTACCAGCTCTTTAAAATAGGTTGTTGTCATTATCCCATTGTACAGATGAAGCTTGACCTTAGAGAGGTTAAGTAACTAGTTCCATCTTAGTAAGGGGTAGGTCAAGGGTTTAAATTCAGACACCATCCAATCCTGCTGCCTCTTTGAAACTCTCTCATCATCCGCGATCCTGGGTTTTCTTCCTCTTTCTCTGTTTCTCTTTGGATTTCTTTGCAGCTCCTTCTTGTGCCTGGTCTTTAGGTTTTGGAGGTTTCTTAGGGTTTTATTTTGGATCCTCCTCTCACTGCTGCTAGGCAGTCTTACCACACCCTGGCTTCAGTTACCACATAGAAGGTGATGACCTCCCAATATATATTTTATAGCTTAGAGCAGCTTCTGGTTTGTAGACCCAGATATCCAACCATTGCAACCATCTAAAACCTAATTTTTAACCTGTTCCTCCTATGCTGCCTTTTTTTTGCTAAATGGTACAAGCCTTCCACCTGCGGCTCAGCAGAAACCTGGGAACCTTCCTCGTCCCGTTAACCGTCACCAAGTCCTGTGTATGTGTCTCTTTCATCTTCCCTAAGGAGAGCAGCCTCCGCAGTTCTACTCACACTTTCTCGTCGTGTCCTGCAGTCTTCTCCCTTTCACAACATTTCCCATGATTATATTCACTTGCTTTGTGAACTTTTGGTTTTTTAATTCCTCAGCCTGAAATTTATTTTTTTATTCCTTTAGAAAAGACATTCAGGGAGAAACCAAGACAGTCTTATTTGTTACTATATCCCCAGTGGCTAGCAGAGTGTCTGTTTGGCACAGAGGCATCATTAAATATTTGCTTAAATGAAAAAGAAACAGAAATTTATTTAGGAAAACCCCTAACAAAACAAGAATGGGTAGTTGGAGGGTGAACTCCTAGAGACAGACTTACAAACAAGGTTTCTGAGAGTCAAGCCATGGAAGGGAGCTAAGGAAGTGGCTGCAGGATTGAGAGAAGTAGGGGAGTTGGGGGTGTGGAATTGCAGGACCCAAACTGTCATTACATGTGGAAGGTAAGATCATGGGTGGCAACAATGCAACAAACTGCCCTAACTGGTTTGGCTCAGTGGATAGAACATAGGCCTGTGGACAAAAAGGTCCTGGGTTCAAATCCGGTCTAGGGCACGTACTTCAATTGTAGGCTTCTCCCTGGTCAGGGCGCGTGGAGGAGGCATCCAATCGATGTGTTTCTCTCACATCGATATTTCTCTCTGTCTTTCCCTTTCTCTTCCACTCTTTCTAAAAATCAATAGAAAAATATCCTTGGGTGAGGATTAAAAAAAGAATGCACCAGATTTCTAGCTTTGACAGCTGAGGGGATCATGTTACCGTTCCTTGAGGGGACCAGGTATGAAAATAGGAAGAATGACTTTAGTTTTGGACCTGTTGACTTTGAAGAACTTCCCCTGGGATTCCCAGATGGAGAGAACCAGTAGACAGTTATAAAAATGGAAATAGACCCCGGTGATGTCGAGACGGCCCGGTGAGGTCGGGGAGGCCCCGGTGAGGTCAGGGAGGCCCCGGTGAGGTCGAAACGGTTCCGGTGAGGCCGAAACAGCCCCGGTGAGGTTGGGATGGCCCCGGTGAGGTTGGGACGGCCCTGGTGAAGTTGAAATGGATAATAAAGACCAATATAAACTGATGAACAAAAATAGATGCGGAGGCAGAGCAGCACTGAACAGACTGTCAAACTACAGTGGGAAGCCTGGTTAGGGTTTGGGGTGGGGGGTTAAGAGAGACTTCTCATTGGTACAGAATAGGTAGATATTATGGTAATTTTTAAATTGGGTGTGGATAAGATCTACTGTATGTCATACAGAAATGGAATTTTTACATTAATCTTCAATATCCTGTGAATATTAACTAATAATAGCTGTGAAAACTAGCATATCTCATTTTAATGATGTTATTTTGTTCATGCTAATTTATACCTTTTTATATGAAAGATGAAATAACTTAGTGAGGTTTATAGACTGTAAATTGTGTGAGAACTTACTGCTGTGTGATTTAATTTTTTTCTCATTTTTCTAGGGCCTATTCCCTGGTGGATTCCAGTCAAGTGTCTACATTTCTGATTTCCATTCTCCTGATAGTCTACGGTAGTTTCAGGTAAGATGCTCTCAAAGTGAGACTAATCTCAGTGGGGGGTGAGGTTAGCACCAAAACTTACTGCTCTGTGAAGAGAAATATGACTGACAGGAATTGAGTTAGAACGGGATAATTCTGATGTTTCTTCTTTAATTTGGCTGCTGTTAAAAGACTTCTTGGTTTTACTTACATGATTTTGGAATTTTAATGGAAACATGAATTGCTTAAATTCTGGTTCTGAGAATAATGACTCCCATAAACACACCTATTGAGAAGGTTAAGGAGAAAATCCTTGACAGTGATTTTAGAGTCTCAAAGGGAACAAAGTTTTTCTTAATATAGGTTGACAGAGGGTGAGCCATGTGAAATTGCCTATAGTCAACTTTTTTGACCTACACAAATAGTTTATGGTTCAGCCTAATTATGGACATTAGTATGTACCAAGTGTGTTCTCTGTTGACTTTGGGAATGCTGAGACTGGATCCTCTTGAAATTCCTATTCTAGAAGGCAGCCACAGGAATAGGAAGTTAGACATTTACTCTTCTTTTTCACTATCCTTTCTTGAAAGGAACTTTAATATAACTCAAATAGTTTTGTCGCTGACACTCTTAACAATAAAGGTCACATAAGAAATTTTTTTTAAATATATTTTATTGATTTTTCACAGAGAGGAAGGGAGAGAGATAGAGAGTTAGAAACATCGATGAGAGAGAAACATCGATCAGCTGCCTCCCGCACATCTCCCACTGAGGATGTGCCCGCAACCCAGGCACATGCCCTCGACCAGAATCGAACCTGGGACCCTTCAGTCCACAGGCCGACTCTCCATCCACTGAGCCAAACCGGTTTCAGCCACATAAGAAATTTTAAATTGAAAACTTGAAAGGGAGTGATGGTGATAAATGAAATAGGCATAAGAATTTTGAACTATTATATCTGGATTTTAATAGAACTTAGCAAAATCACAGGCTTTATCTCAACACTGCGTAGAACAAGTACAATACTATTGGTAATTCCAGTATCAACTGATACATGTTTTAATCATTGAGACTTCTATTGAGAATCCTACATTCATAATGAGTCATAGGAAGCATTAGTTAAGCCAGAGCAACTTAGAACCTTATCACATAATCTAGATATTTTTATATTGCTATCCTTTGTACAAGTTTCTTATTTTTTCTCTTTGTGTATATGTCAGCATTTTCAAAGAAGGTAATTTTTAAAAAAATCTTTAGACCTACAACCCTAGTACTACAGTAAGTCTTTTTTTTTTAAGTCTTTATTTAATGTCAGTAAGTTCTGTGACTTTAAGTGAAATGCCGTATAATGAAGCCAGTTTTATCATAGGCTGATTGATGTAAACAAGGGTTAAGTTCTTATAGCATCTTATCAACAGTATAACTAAACTAGTGGCCTGGTGCATGAAATTTGTGCACGGGGGCGGGGTGCCCCTCAGCCCGGCCTGCACCCTCTCCAATCTGGGACCCCTCAGGCCTAAACCGGCCGTCAGACATCTCTCTTGCAATCTGGGACTGCTGGCTCCTAACTGCTCACCTGCCTGCCTGATTGCCCCTAACCACTCTACCTGCCGGCCTGCTCGCCCCAAATGGCCCCCGCCTCTCCATGTCGGCCTGCTCGCCCCATACTGCCCCCCCTTGCCGGCCTGATCGCTCCCCCACCCGCTGGCCTGCTCACCCCCATCTGCCCTCCCCTGCCAGCCTCATGGCCCCCAACTGCCCTCCTGGCTGGCCTGATCGCCCCCAACTGCCTCCCAACCCCGCCAGCCTGGTTGTTCCTCACTGCCCTCTTCTGCCGGCCTGGTTGCCCCTCACTGCCCCTCCCTGCCAGTCTGGTCACCCCCAACCATCCCCCCTGCTGGCCTGGTCACCCCCAACTGCCCTCCCCCCCGCTGGCCTAGTCGCCCCACACAGCCTGCTGTTCAGTCATTTGGTCATTCCTCACTAATCCCCCTGCCAGCCTGGTCGCCCCACTCAGCCTGTTCGGTTGTCCATTCGGTTGATTCGGATGTGACGGTCTCTTAGGCTTTTAGTATATAGGTGGCATTATTTGTTCTTTCATTAGTATATGTGACCTTTTGTTTGGCCTATTTTATATACTGGGTACGTTTTTATAGTTTACATCATTTATATTCTGATTATTTTCACCTAACAAAAATATTTTCCACAATCATCTTCATACTAATTTTTAGTACTAGTAATTTGGTATTTCTTTGTGCTACTGTCTTATTCCACTCTTGTTTGACATGTGGGTTGTTAAGGTAACCATCTTTTTATGTTCTTTTGCTTTGGTTGAATTATACAGGTTAAATATTCAAAACTTGAAATACTTCGGCAGAGAGTATAAACTGGGTTTTAGTATATAGTGCTGTATTGTTTTACAGGCAGGTTATACCAATTTAGGATCATGCATGTTTTAAACAAAATTTATGCTTATAAATGCACCACGGAATTATATCAGTGGAAAGATTTCTCTGGTGAACTTCTTTGTCTTACAGGTGAGGGAACTCGATAAAGATTACACACTCATTTGGTGAGAGGGTCTGGTTTGGGACCCGGTTGTTAGGGTGTTGGTCCCACTACATTAGGTCTTTTATACTTTGGTGATATATTTCTGCAAAAAAGTAAATTGTGATGCCTTTAATTATACATTTAAATTGCCCTCATTGAATAAGTTTAGAAGTGTTTTCTCCTGTTTTCTGAAAAAGATTATATAAGCTTGTATTTCTTCTTTAAATATATGATAGAACTCACCAGTGAAGCCATCTAAAGTCTGGCTTTTTGTGGAAAAATTCTTCATTGTTTTTTTCAGGCTTTATTCACTTTTTTTTCCTTATTATTATTAAGTACTGGGAAGGAGCCCTAGCCAGTTTGGCTCAGTGGATAGAGCGTCGGCCTGTGTACTGAAGGGTCCTGGGTTCAGTTCCCGTCATGGGCACGTACCTCAGTTGCCGGCTTCTCTCTGGGTTGCCAGCTCGATCCCCAGTAGGGGTGTGCAGGAGGCAGCCCATCGATGAATCTTTCTCATCATTGATGTTTCTCTCTCTCTCTCCCCCTCTCCCTTCCTCTCTGAAATCAATAAAAATATATTTTTTAAAAGTACTGGTAAGGATGTTTTTCTTTTTGTGGTAAAATAAACATAAAATGAAATTTACCATTTTATTCATTGTCAAGAATAAAGTTCAGTAGCAGGTACAAGGTTTTAAAAACACATTATTGTGTCTCTCTTTATTATAACCATTCTGATACTAGGGTATGGAATGATTTCTCTGTGGCTTCGATTGCATTTCTCTAATAACCGGGATTAGGATGCTGAACAGCTGTTAAGCATCTTTTCATGTGCTTATTGGCCACGTGATTTTTCCAGTTTGTTTCACCTTTTATCTCCCCTCCCCCAAAGTATTGATAAGGTGTGTTTTTTAAAAAACAACAGCAGCACAGGTTTATAGAGATATAATGTGCCTACCATTAAGTTGTTCCATATAAAGTGTACAATTCAGTGGTTTCAGAATATTACTAAATTGTGTAAACATCACCATAATCCAATTGTAGGACATTTTCATCATCCCAAAAGAAATCTTGTACCCATTAATAGCCGCTCCTCTCCCCTCTCCCCCTACTCTAGGTAACCATTAATCTTTAACTTTGTCTCTCAAGATTTGCCTGTCTTCTTTTTTAACATAGGTGTTTAAAGCAGCAAATTTCCCCCTAAGCACTGCTTTAACCGCATCCTCTAAATGTTATATTTTAATTTCATTCAAGTCAAGATGTTTTCTAACTTTCCTGGTGATTTTTTTTTTCTTTTGACCTATGGTTTTTTAAATTACTTTCCAAATAGTTAAGGATATTTCAGAATTCTCTCTGCTGTTGAAAGGAATTTCAACCACCTAATTTAATTTCATTGTGGTAAGAGACATACTTTTAATGATTTCAATCCTTTTAAATTTGTTGAGGCTTGTTTTAGCACAGTCCACCCAGGAGGCTGTTCATGTGCAGTTGGAAAAATCAGCCTTTGACAGAGTTGAATGCAGTGGATGACGTCATCTGGTTTGTGTTTTGGACAGGTTGTTCTGGGTGGTGTATGGGAAATAGATTGTTGTGTTACAAGGAAACCTGGGCGAGACTGTTGCCCTAGTACAGGCAACAAATGATGATGGCTTTAACTAGGATAATGGTGGCGGGATGAGGTGTCAGTAGGTTAAGGATGAGATGGCTGAGGGGATGGATATAGTTGGTATGAGAGAGAAGTCAGGAATGACTCCCAAGGTTTATGGCCTAAACATCTGGATCTAAAGATGGTGTCATGTTTGAGTTGGAACGCTCCATAAGAAAAGCAGATAATAAAATACTGGATAAAACATGTGTGAAGTGGACTGCTATTTCCCACCAGGCTTTCACATCTCTGAGTACAGAGGGGAAATGATATCAAGTAACACTAGATTCTAAAAGCCAAAGCACATCCTTGATTTAGGAGTCCTTATGTTTACCATCCCTTTACTTAGCTTTGCTAGATTTCCTATATTACTTAAAGCTGACACCCATCTCTCTTTAACCTTCCAGCTGTTCAGAAACAAAATAGCATAATTACTCATTTTATTAGTAAGTTCCCAAAGAGTTTGACAGACCTACTGGAGAGCATTGCCAGAGGGAGAGGGAGAGAAAAATAACTGGATATATATCCCGGTGACTATAGTTAATAATGTATTATATACTTGAAATCTGCTAAGAAAGTAGATCTCACTAATAAGTGTTCTGACAGCAAACAAAAGGCAATTAAGGGAGGTAGTGGATATGTTAATTCATTTGATTGTGGTAATTATTTCACATTGTATACATATATAAAGACATTATGTTGTGTGCCTTAAATATACAGATACTCCTTGACTTACGATGGGGTTACATCCTTACAAACCCATCGTAAGTTGAAAATATTGTATATCAAAAATGAATTGAATACACCTAACCTACTGAACATCATAGCTTACCTAGCCTACCTTCAATGT